ATTATAACATAACCAAAGTAAAGCGCGCGCTCTGATTGGTCAATTTAGCGTCCCCCATTTGCCCATGGGTGTACGCTGCTGACGTGAGCAAATGCAAAGACTATTTTTCCGCGCGCGCTTGTTTTTTCTGGTCGCGTAAGATTTGTTAAATAAAAGGGAACTCTTTAGCTACAATGTATCAATGTTATGTTATAAAACAAATGGTAAACACCACAGCGTACACTATTGAGTTATGGATGCACTTGGGAGGTTTGCTAAGCACTCAAGAAGCTAGAGTCGCTCTCGGCTATCGCCTCGAGCGACTCTTACGCTTCTTTCGTGCTTAGCAACCTCCCGCGTGCATCCATAACTCAATAGTGTACGCTGTGGTGTTTACCATTTGTTAATTATGAAAGAGTTATGAGGTGGGTGACTGAACCGTTCCCTTAAATCCATTGGTCACCGGGGTTCAGTGCTGCGAAATTAATTTTCTTCTTGACTAAAATGCACAGTCGTTTTAACGTAAAGAGGGTTGTTAGTTCTTTCTAGCTAGTACTGTGGTGCAAAAATGGGGAGTTCAGGCACAAACCTAACATTGTTGATCGTTTCGATTGTTTTCGATCTGATATGGAGAAGAATCGCGAGAACAGTTAAAGTTTCTTGGCTGATTTAACAAATTCAATTATAGCATGTAAACAATGGTGGCTAGATTGGTCAGTAACACTTTTGCAGTCGAAACTAATTCTGTGCTTTTCTGGGATAAAAAAAAATATCGTGGAATTCGTTGCTCCATATTGTTTCAATTACTGTCATTCAAAAACACTAGTGGTCACTTAAAATGCTTTCTGGGGTATACCAGTCCAAGGCAGAAGACTGATAGCGGTTTGGTATCGCATGTAAGCGAGATTCAGCGCGGCGAATATCCGGTCGCCACAATGGACGGATGGAAGATTTAGGACGAGTAACAGAGCGAGAGGGGTGGGGAGGGAGAGAAAAATTTTACTCTACTTCCCGCTTCCTCTTCGCTTTGTCACTCGACTCAGATTTTCCACCCGTCCAATGTGGCGACCGAAAATTCGCCGCGCTGAATCTCGCGCTTGAAAAACAAACTACCGCCCGCAAGCAGGCTCTGTGTACAGCCCCTCATTTTTAGCTTCTTTTGAACTTTAAGAAAGGCTGTTGGAGGAAAGTGTAAAAGTGCACATGACAAGCCCGAAAGTTATTGTGGGCAGTTTTTTGTCACAGTTCGTTGACCTCTGAATTTTAGGGAAATCTGAGAACACGTCACAGTAAGTACGATCCATCGCCTGTTTGATGAATTCAATTATTTGTTTGACCTACCAATTCACTGATTGCCAGATACCCAAATTATCTTTCGAGTTGGTCGCGTTCACTTTTGTCCTATGAGGAAAGAAGATCAAGATTTAAGTTTATGTCCAGTTGTAAGGTATGTGAGGTAGCAGCGCAACCTGGGTTACACTCAACGCAGGT